GCCCGCCGCGCTGCCGTTCATGCTGCGGCCTCGGGCTGCGCTCGCCTCCCGGGGCCGCCGCTCGCGTCGCCTCGGCCGCCGCCGCGGAGCGCTGGGAGTTGTAGTCCGGGGCCTGCCGGGGCCTCAGCACAGCGCCCTGCCCTGCAGCCGTAGCCTGAGATCCAGAGCTCCACCTGTGCCGGCCACCGCTGCTGGGGACCTAAGGACGACCCACGGAAGGTGCTTGGTTTGAGGGTGAGGGAATTCTCCTCAAAACCCTACACAACAGGCAGGTCCCTAGTAAGAAAAGGCCAAGTAGTTCAACTTTCGTCTACCACTTGAACCTGGGACTGCTGTATCTGCAGGAGTCTCTGAGCCAATAGATTATTGGGGGAAAGACAGCAAGGCAAATTTAATCCCGTTTATTTCCTTATTAAACTTTATCCTTACCTGTTTCAGCACATGCTGCAAGTGTGGCAACACAGACAACAACAGGGAACAATGATCAGGCCGCGGTTCAACTCAGCCACGCAGCTGCTTGGCAGGTTTAGGACAGACATGTCCACACACTGCAGGAACTTTTCAGATGAAAATGGTGCTCTGGTCTTCAGTGTTACACTACAGATCTGCTTGTTCAGTATTGCAGTATGGTTAACAAATATTTTTTACTGCATTCATTCCAAGATCACCTGCATTTTTGGATTCCTGAATTTAATGGAGAGAAGCAGCCTGGGTGCTGGATCTCTGGGTTAGAGGAAGAGTGTGCCCCATGCCTTAATGCTACAGCATTAATGCTTAGTGCCAAGCTGGGTGTCAGAACACCTGCCTCAGAGGTGGGAGACAGGCATTCAAGGCCAAATTACACCTGCAATGACAAGCAAAACCATGAGCTATCTATATCACAGGAGGCTTCTTAAACCACTAAGCAGTCCAGTTTCAGTCCAGTCGCCACAGTATTGTTGTCCTGGATTAAGAACACTGGAAAGCAAAACTTGCATGATGGCCATCAATTATTTTCCTCCAAACTCAGGTTCTGCTAATACAGCACTTGGCAAACTACTTGAAGATACATTCTGTTCCTTAGCAGCAGTTCTAATGTATTTTAGAGATGACAGGCTTGGCTTAGAACAAAAATGGTTTTCTCTTGATCTCAGATAACTGCAATATTAAAACTTTTTTAGCCAGGAAGAGATTGTTTGCGTAAATCATTACTCCTTGGCAGCTCCAGGCTTCACCAAACAACTGCTGGCCTCCTACATGTTAACAGCTACCATTAATACCTTTCTGCACTGGCACAGATCATTTCATGTGTCTTCACAGTCAGACACTTCCTTCCAGCACCGTTTCACATACTAGACTGACCCACATCTCTTGGGACATGGTGCAGCAGCAGGAGCTGCTAGGAGGAAAATGAAGGGAGGGAAACCAGAAAGATTAGGATTGAATTTAGACTTACACCTTCACATCACAACATAGTAGTGGAACATTTCTAACAAACCACTAGAAGTATCAAGATATTTGTGCTATGGTGAAATCAGAAACAACATTTTCACAGAGAAAAACCTTTTTGAGGGAGCCCACACATTTTATAAAACAAAGACTAGATTTGTTGGGATGTGTGTTTGTCTTTCTCACGTCCTAAGCAGAAACAGAAGAAAAGCATACGGAAATACTCCTGTCCAAAGCTTGCTGAAAGTTGCCTCTAAATTAAGTCATGCATTTTTAGATCGATCTTCAACCACAGAGGAAAATGGAAACTAAAGCATTTTATTGCTTAGTCTCTTCCAAAACTGCATTTGCAAGTGAGCTTTCTAGCATAAATTGTGCTTGCTTAACACCTGTTTCTTCAGTATGCAGGTCTGTAAATAAGAACTCTCTCAGTGTTTCCCTGTTCTCAGCATAAATCTTTCCCTGGCAATTTATGGTATACTACCAATCAACAACAGCAGGCTATCACAGCCTGACATTTCTATCACTGCATTTAAAAAACAAAATAAAAGAAGTCTGCTGGTACTTACCAGTTGTGCATAGCTGAGGTGCTGGGTGTAGTACACATCCCCCTGGTCTGTCACATATCCCTTGCTATTGACACCTGAATTACAATTGTTATTTCTCTGAGGAATCCACCCACACACAAACAAACAAACAACCCCCCAAAACAAACAAAAAAACAAACAAACAAACAAACAAAAGCAAAAAAAACCCACCAAATGTCTCTGGTTATAAGCAATTAATTTGGGGTGTTAGTCAATGGGCAGTTATCTTGACATAAACATGGGACTAATTTTCATCTAATCAAAACCATCCATGTTGCATCAAGACAGGAAGTGCAGCCTGCTGAATAATGTGTTCCCTCTTTTCCCCAGACAAATCTAGATAACAATTTAAAGACCCATTTGCTTTAGACAAAATGCCATGAAGAAATGTGAATCATATCCTTTGTATTTCACATCCAATCATAATGTAACCAGCTCTTTTGGGATGAAGAACACAATAATTTAAGAAAAATGAACAGGAAACTGTGTATTCTAAAAACGTAAGTATCACACCTGGGAGGCAGCAAAAGTTCACCATCATTAGCTGTAGATTCACCAACATCTTCCCAAATGTTGCAAGTGTTGGGGTCCTTATCCTGCATTTATAGAATGTTTGCTAAAAATGTGGTCTTCACTTTTCAAGTACAAAGAATTTTTTTGGTAGTGGACAAGTTACTCCAGAAACACCTGTCCTTTAAAATAAAGTTTTCACTGTAAATCTGGACTACAGACTCCTCTTTATGTTGATGTGGTTGAAAGATCTACTCACTGGTATAACAGAAATAATAAAAATAAAACTTACAGAGTGTTATTTCCACATCCTTCGTAATTTTTTATACTTTTTCCAAAGTTCTATCTCCTGTTAAAAAATGAAACATACAGTGCTTCTGTGTGGCACACTGTAGAGCTGCAAGGACATTTAGCTGGCAAGAGAGACAACTAGGGAAAGGGCCCTGCTGGACCTGCTGCTTGTTAACAGAGAAGGCCTTGTGGGGAATGTAAAGGCTGGAGTTCGTCTTGGGCGGAGCGATCACGAAATGATAGAGTTCTCAATTCTTTAAGAAGCAAAGGGGGGAACCAGCAGAACTGCCACCTTGGCCTTCCGAGAGGCAGACTTCGGCCTGTTTCAGAGCATGATTGAGAGTGTCCCTTGGGAAACCGTCCTGAAGGGCAAAGGAGCCCAGGAAGGCTGGTCATATTCAAGGAGGAACTCTTACAGGCACAGGAGAAGGCCGTCCCCAGGTCCTGAAAGAGGAGCTGACAGGAAAGAAAACCAGCCTGGCTAAATAGAGAGCTTTTGGCTGGACCTCAGGAACCAAAGGAAAGTTTACAGCCTTTGGAAAAGGGGGTTGGCAACCTATGAAGAATGCCAGGATGTAGTGAAGCTATGCAGAGGGAAAATTAGAAGGGCCAAGGCTCAAGCAGAACTCAACTGAGCCACTGCAGTTAAAAATAATGAGGATTTTTCGGTGTATGAATAGAAAAAGGAAGGCTAGGGCAAGTGTAGGCGTAGTGATGAATGAGGTGCGCGCCCTAGTGGTGGAAGACACAAAGAAGGCGGAGTTTCTGAATGCCTTCGTTGCTTCAGCCTGCACCTCCTACAGCAGTCCCTCATGAATCCCAGACCCTGGAGGCAAGGGAAAAGGTCTGGAGAGAGGAAGACTTTCTCTCAGTAGAGGAGGACTAGGTTCGAGTCTGCCTTGCCAAACTGGACATCCATTAGTCCATGGGCCCTGATGGGGATGCACCCATGAGTGCTGATAGGGCTGGCTGATGTTATTGCTGGGCCACTCTCCGTCATCTTTGAAAGGTCATGGAGAACACGAGAGGTCCCCGAGGACTGGGGGAAGGTCAATATCACTCCAGTCTTCAAAAAGAGCAAGAAGGACCCAAGGAGCTACAGGCTGATTAGTCTCACCTCTGCCCCTGGGAAGGTGATGGAGTGATTTGTTCTGGGTGTCATCTTGAAACACACTGAAGAACAGGAAGTTATTTGAAGTGCTCCAAGGGTGAAACATGCTTGACCAACCTGCTAGCCTTCTGTGATGACATAACTGGTTGGGTAGATGAGGGGAGAGCAGTGGATGTCATCTACCTTGACTTCAGCAAGGTTTTTGACACAGTCTCCCATAACATCCTCATTAGGAAACTCAGGAATCTAGGGCTAGATGAGTGAACAGTGAAGTGGATTGAGAGCTGGCAGTGTGACAGAACTCAGAGCATTGTGATCAATGGCGCAGGGTCAAATTGGAGGCCTGTAACCTGTGGTGTCCCCCAGGGGTCAATATGCAGTCCAATCTTGTTCAACATATTCATCAGTGACCTGGACTGGGGGACAGAGTGTATCCTCAGTAAGTTCACTGATAATACCAAACTGGGAGGGGTGATGACACTCCAGAGGGCTGTGCTGCCATCCAGTGTGTGACCTGGACAGACTGGACAGCTGGCCAGAGAAGAACCTAATGAGGTTCAAGAAGGGGAAGTTTAGGGTCCTGCACCTGGGAAGGAAGAACCCCATGCACCAATAGAGGTTAGGGGTGGATCTGCTGGAAAGATGTTCTGAGGAGAAGGATCTGAAAGTCCTGGTAGACAGTAAATTATCCATGAGCCAGCAATGTGCCCTTGCTGCCAAGAGGACCAATGGAAACCTGGGTTGCATAAGGAAGAGTGTGGCCAGTAGGTCAAGATAGGTCATTCTCCTCCTCTACTCTTCCCTGGCAAGGCCATATCTGGAGAACTGTGGTCAGCTCTGGGCTCCCCAGTTCAAGAGAGACAGGGAACTATTAGAGAGAGTCCAGCGGAGGGCAACAAAGATGACAGGGGGGTTGGAGCATCTCTCTTATTAGAAAGGCTGAGAGAGCTGGGACTGTTTAGCCTGGAGAAGAGAAGGCTGAGAGGAGACCTTATTAATGCCTATAAGTATCTAAAGGGTGGGTGCAAGGAGGATGGAGCCAGACTCTTTTCAGTAGTTCCCAGTGACAGGATAAGGGGCAGTTGGAACAGAGAAAGTTCCATTTAAATATGAGAAAAAACTTCTTTATGGTGAGTGTGACAGAGCACTGAAACAGGTTGCCCAGAGATGTTGTGGAGTCCCCTCTTCTGGAGATGTTTAAGACCTCCTGGATGCAGGATTGTTGATTTCAGACCTCCTGAATAATGTGCTCTAGGTGAACCTGCTATATCAGGGGAGTTGGACTAGATGATCTCTAGAGGCCCCTTCCAACTCTAACTAATCTGTGATTCAGTAATAGCTTAAGAAGTAATAATAAAGTAGACAAAAATATCCCCTCAGACTGTTAGATAAAACATCTATCAATACTGTAGGAATTCGGGGGGGGGGGAGTCTTGCAGAACAGTGTCAAATATTTTAGAAATCCAGTTAACTTGTGCAACCTCACCGACAGCTCCTCTTAGCGACAACAAAATACATTGCACTTCTTAGAAGAACCCAGCAGTCAAGGCACTGGAAAGTTTCCAGAAATGAAAGACAATCTGTTCTTGTGAAGTGTCTGTGCTGACGGTTCAGAAATGTAATGCTTACTGGCATGATCTGGATAATACTTCTCAACTGTCTCACAAAAGGATGACCCTGTTCTCTGTGATCTGTCTCCCACCTGCAGGACTACTCCCTGGAAACAGAAGGCTTATACCACAGACACCTGCATCTCACTGCAATACCTGTTTCTTGCTTACCTGTGCATCACAGATGTGAATGAAATGAAGACTATAAAAGCAATTTATTTTTTTTCTCTTCATTTTTTAATGAATGACAGAAGTAAAATGTTCATAAACATCTCTCCCCCTGAATTGGAGAAAACATTAAATGGAGTAAATCGGAGCAAATTATTTATTTATACCTGTTCTACAATGTTCGCATTTGTAAACTGTTGGCATGAAAAAGGTGTACCTACAGTTTTCCTAACTAGTTCAGTTTAAGAGCTCAAGGTGCAAAGGAAAAAAAACCAACAACAACAACTGCATGCCTTACTGCCTGCATTTATTAACTTGAAATAATCAAGGATAACATTTACTCTGCATGTAATGATATTACATGGGATTAGAACTATTAGATAGAATATGTTGAATATTAGAACTATTAGATAGAATGTGTTGAATTATTTTGATGAATTATCAGCTGGGTCTGCTCACAGATCTCCCCAGGAGCATCCAAAGCTAATGCTTGTTGGTCTTTGGCAAGTGCTTAGTAGTGGAATTTGATTCACAAGCAGGTATTCTTCTTTAGGACCTGCTGGCCTTTCCACTATTTGAAATAATTAACTTCTTCTGCAGAATTGGGCCTTTTTCCTCCTAAGACATCCGAGTATTTCCCACTGATAATACTTGGCAAGGGTTATTCCAAGGACACAGACAAAAAGGCTAAATACTATTATTCCTGGTTTTGCACTGTGAAAAATCATCCTGGCTGGAGGGGGTCCACTGTCAACACTCCCTCCAAATCCATTCCATTCACAATATGGAGGAGCCCAGCCATACCTGCAGTGACAGTTCTTACGATTGTTACACGCTCCTCTGTGATGACACATTGTCAGGTTACAGTCGTAGTTCAACAGTGACATGCTGGTACATGTCCTGTTGATACAAAGCTTATCAATACCACATGGTGTGCCATCTTCCACTGCCCCCACATCAGCTCTCGGCATCCCTGAGTGATAATCAAGACCCCAACACTTCTTACCTCCAACAGGCGTTTGGACCACTGTTACATGGTTCTGCAAGAAAGGCAGTTTGTCTAAGTTTTCACACTGGATCCTACCACATAAGATATTCTCAATGCTGCATTTTTTAAAATGGGTGTTGTTCTGAATACCACAATTCCCAATCCGGTCCCCTCGAGTGTTCACTGCTTTGAAGCATTCTGCAGGAGCGGCCCTGGCTTGCTTGCCAAAGAGATGCTGGCACTGTTTATTGTGGGAAGGACATTTTCCTCGATAGCAATAAGCACCATCTTTGCAAGGGGTTCCATCTTGTACGTACACATCTGGTGGGCACCAAGGGGAAGTCCCATTGCAATACTCTGGCAGGTCACAGTCATTAGTTCCTGCTCTGCAGAGCGTACCTGCTGCAAGGAGCTGACAACTCTGGCAGCATTTTCCAGAAGCACAGACTGAACCTGCAGTAAGCTTACAGTTTGGCTGACAACAAGGATCTTTTCTGCAGTTTGATTCTGAACCACAGTCACATTGCTCTCCACTTTCTACTATCTTATTCCCACAGTATTCACGCTTGATGGTGTAGGAAGTACCAGGTGCTGGTGGTTGATGAATGCAGATGGCAGCATGTCCAAGGTCAAAGTAATCTTTGTAACTGCAGTCACTGAATGCATCTGTGTCAACATTGCTTTTGTACATAATGCATTTCTTCCGTCTGCATTTACAGCCCCATCCATCATGGCGCATCCCAAGAGTATGGCCCAGCTCGTGGACAAAGGTGGTAATAAATGAGGACAACTTCCCTTCAGTGAAAGAAGCAACTGCTGATGACCACTGGTTATCACACATGGACCCTAGAAATGCCAACCCCAGGCTCCTTCCAAAGCTCTGAAATGTAAACAAGTGAGCAGTGTCATGGCGCACCCGTGTAGACAGGTCTGACTTGCGCCAGTTGTTAAAATCATCCAGTGCCTTGCTGATAGAGTCGGTAACGTTTATAAGGTTGCTTTTGGTCCAGATCTCCAATCCCACAAGAAACAGACGAATAGAAAGCTGCTGGTACAGAGAGTCTCCAATGTTGATGACTTCTATGACTTGCCTCAAGACTTCGGAGTCGTTCCTGCCCGACTTCACAAACCACACATTGTCAACGACCACTACTAACTTCACATACCTGATGTGTCTCCACCAGTCCTTCAGCATCTCCTCCTCCGCCACCTGGGGGGCCCAGAGCCAGGGCAGCAAAGCCTTTTGGCGCTCCATCTCCTCCGGGGTCAGCCCGCAGGTCGGGCTCCCAGGGCCGCTGGGCTCCTCCATGCGGTACAGCGTGTGCTGGAAGGCCAGGTCGCCAGGGACGGGCTTGATCTCATACATGCCACCGTCCACCCAGAGGACGCCGTGGAGGCCCCGGCCGCAGGCACTGAGGGCCACCAGGGAGCCCGGGCTCCCCTGCACCTCGCCCTGGTAGAAGCAGCTTTCCTGAACGAAGGGGTGCTCCTCCCG